GATGATCTGTATGCTAAATATAAAGCTAGATTCAGCAAGGCAATTAGCTCAGCTTAGCATAAAGACTGGAACCAGGGCAAACAGATAGACAAAACGGTAAAAAAAAAAAAAAATGCATCTACCAGCTTACCAGTAGAAAGCTCACAAACGAACAGATTATACTATATATTGCTATATAAACTTCAATGTGAAAATGATGTTGTGGCTTTACATTATTTTGTTCGTACTTCTAAGTTGTCTTTTATGTTGTTATTTAAAAAAAGCATTAGAGGTTATCTACCTCTTTTTGTGTTAACACATTATGTAACTTTAAGTGGATCGCACTGAATGTTATTGGTACTTTTAGGATGACACAGGGCTTTTTGCCAGAGATGAATTTGAGGTATTTTATAATGGAAGGATGGGTATTGTAAATGGACAGCCCCGTACCTCTAACATTACCTCGCAAATGGACATGAGGCAACATTAGCTTTTAACATTGTCTGTAATTTACATTAATGATGGGTCCATTTTTTATTCATAAAATACCGGGGATGATGAGCCATAAAGAGAAAGATGACCTGTTGGATTGTAAGTGAACATCTATTAATCAAATAGACATATAATACACAGTTTCTGATTTCAGAACACAATGCATCTTTATGTCCTTTAAGCTTGAAAAACACATTTAAACATGTAATAAATTAAAACTACCAATACATGGCAACTAAAATGACTTATTCTTATATCAGATAAAACTGTTCTTTTTTAATTCTACATATAAAGTAAGCACACATATCCATACAGTGCATATCCATACAACTTTTACAGTGTAGCTAACCTAGAGAATTGTTTGAGACAAAAGTTGAAGTCAGCTCAAGGGTATGCAAGTGTTTGAACACATCATATATTTAGTACAACCAAATCTTTGAGCCATCACAAAATCTCTAATCAGTTACAGTGAAAAACATATATATATATATATATTTTTTTTTTATGTACACCATGCGTACTATTATGGTCCTGCATTACTATAAAACTGAAGAATCTTTCAATGTGTGACACTAGGCAGTATGCTTTTAGAATGGGATTCAATATGTTCAGAAAGGCAAGCTTAATGCAGCCACCCTGCACTCTAGCCACAGGCTAATAGTGGTGAGCAATTACTGTTGTTTGAGTAGAGTTGTAAAAGATGACTGTTCAAGACTACTTATCCTTGTGTATCTGTCATATAGAGATGCAGGAGAAAATATTAGGAAACAATGAATTCACTGGAAGAAGGTAAACAAAAGCCAGATGGAGGATTCATTGTTCTAATGCACCACTATATCAGTAAAATGTATGCATCTTCTTATATGGATAAATATGTTTCTCTGACCAGAAAACAGCCATAACCATCCATTTTCTCAGACTGCTGGTCATGCATCACTGGGAGTGATGCAGGGACACACCCTGGACAGGTGGCCAGTCGATTACAGAGTGGCTACTGAGAGAATATATAAACTCTAGGGCTGACCCCGAATAGTTGAAGATTCGATGCTTCGAAGGGCGGAGCCTGATTCGACTGTCAATCTCACAGTCGAAGATGGCAGTGAAACAAGGATCATGCCATTTTGGCTGTATGGGGCTGCTCAACGTCTGATTTTACATAGAACTACCAGTTTTCTCCCAATAAGTTAATATACAGCCTATTACAATATACATTCAATGTGTAATGCTGTGAATAAACATGTAAAAAGAATAAATCTTTCAATAAATGTTTTTGAACTGCGTGAATAAATCCAAACTTGTAACCCTAACCCTATGTCGTCAGTGCGCACGTATAAGCGTAGCGTGTATTTGTGCAGTGCCGCTTTAGCTGGAAATTTACAGTGTAAGTTGAATGAAAAGAGACTGCAGATCTGCAGCTTCTCAGGATTAAAGCGGAGCTACCGTGTGTTCCCCCCCCCCCCCCCCCCCTCGCAATAGCCCCGCACAAAACACACGATTCCTATAGGCAGGACTTGACGATTCTGATTCGACTACGTAAATCCTTAGTCGGGGACAGCCCTAATAAACTCCAAAGAATATTTGCCAAAGGCCCCATGCCTTGCTTAAGTTTATACTCAAAACTCTCTTGCTGTGATGGTAACATTGTCCAGAAAGTTAGTGTAATGTATTGAACACATATTTATTTGGGCTCTAATAAATAAAAGTAGTCTCTAATCCACATCTTCTAGTCACTTTTCTTTTTGGTTGTGTCCTCTCAAGGATGTCCTCTACCAAGACACTGTTTTAAATCAATTTTTCTCAGTCTTAATCATCACGAGTCAGAGTACACAGCAAGCATTCTGCAGAGTGACTCCATGCCTGTTCAGTCTTCTATCCAAACATAAAGACATGCAAAGGTTCTCAAAGCAACATTCAATCACATTCAATTGATTTAAGACTGCAATTTCATTAGCAGCACATTTTCCAAAGGACATAACAGAGCTCAGACCCTCACACTTCATCATCATCGTTGCCACTCCTATTTTATTTGCCCTCTCTTCTCCTTTTTTAGAGTTAACCAACCCTGATAAACAAACGACTATATATACAAGTATTATTTTTGGTAGCAGATGTTGAGCAGACAGACAGACAAGAAGCCTCTGCAAAAAGAGGGAGGGGGCAGGCTGTATAGCTATGACAAAGATGTGCACTGGGAGACATGACAGAAGCGATAAGTAAAAAAGAATACGCCTCAGGCAGCTGACTACTGATTACATTCTTACTATTATGGCCTCACGTTTTCCAAGGCACTTTGCTATACGGTTGGCAGTAAAACAGCACAGTGAGCATATCACTGGTGTGGCTAATGCCTGCAACCTGCTTCCATCACCGCATAAAATGCAACCCTGCTTCAGATCACAGGTGTTGTATCCAAATTACATAAAAAGTACTGATTCTAACCCGGTTTTGACTATAAAGTGTGTTCACACAGGAATAGTTACAAAATCAAGTATATACTATTAAAGATGTCAGCCTGCTTATAAAATCTCCTTAATGTTTGTGGTATTAAAGAACACTATTGTCTGACAATACAATGCATAGAGCTGGAACAAATTAAAACATTGAAGGATGGTGTTGAGAAAAAGACATTTTAAGCAAACAAACAAAATAATATATATTTGGAAACATGTTTTGTTTTGAATAATAAGTCTGGGGTTTTGATAGTATAGTCTTAATAAGTCCATATGAAAAGACTAAAACCAACAATCATTTTAGTCTGAGTCTCGATACTTTCTGACTTGCCATGTCTGTCTACAGCCCGAAGCCTATTTACGATCCTAAAACAGCTGGGCACCGCACTTTTTAGCAAACAGGAATAAACCGTACATTTGCTTTGAATTATTTTGGTGCTGTAGTCAGTATTTACTTGAAGACATGTGACAGTCTCCACCTTCTTGAGCTATCCTTAATACATGCATTGGGAGGGGTATGCACAGCAAAAGCCCATAAGCTGGAGAGTGACATGTGGCAGTCACGCTGGTCTGTCTGGCACCTTTTTTTAAATATTCACTTCCCTAGTTATTGTCATTGTGCTTGTGACCTTATCACTCCCAAAAAATAAAAGAATACAGCTGACCTTACATACTGCTGATGTTCAACAGGAGAATGGCAGAAATAAAAGAAACAGGGACAGGGCAGAAGAATGCTTGACTAAGCAGTAGCTGTTACCTCATTAGGGCTAGTGCTCCACAACGATGTTTAAAACATGAACTGCACACTCATTTAGTGCGTAATTTGACTGAGGTGTGACAGGGTCGAACAGGGGTGAGCAGCCAAAGTGGAAGGGTCATGGTTATTTAGATTACATTAACTAACATTAACTAAGCATGGTCTCTATGAATCCATTTATCTCTTTCTTGAGGAGATAATAGCTCTCTTGGCTCCCAGCGCTTATTTCTTTTTCTAAATCTCCACATTATTTATATTCTCTTCATCTCTCCCCTGTTTTTTTTTTGCTACTTTTCAATTGCTCTGTACCTCTCTCTCTCACTCTCTCTCTCTGTCCCTCTCTCACTCAGTCAGCCAGTCACACACATATACACACACACACACACACACACACACACACACACACACACACACACACACACACACACACACCCCATTCAGTTTTAGAGAGCACGGTAGGCAGAAATGCCCATGGTTTGGATCATGCTGAGGAGGCAGGAATTAATTCCAATCAGGCTTGAATAGGGAAGAGCCATTCCATTTTGCACTACTCCTGGAGTCACTCAAACAAGAAGCACCCCCCAGCTCTACTGCATATGCACAAACACACATGCACATACCAGTATCACCCACACATGATATTGTGATATCACTTGACAGCTTAACTGTTTTGTTTATTACACATCAGTCTTTGACATTTACACCACACTTATGAAGCCCCTGACACCCTCATTCACCTATCTTTTGCATTTCACTGAGTGAAATTTTAAGCAACCATGGGGTGTATGTGAGCACATATTGTTGCTCACAATAAAACATTGTGGTCTCAAGCCGCCATGAAAATGTGGTGTACCCTCCGCATCATCTGCTCTTCTGGCGCAACCTCTCCTCTGCCCCTCTTTCATCTGCCTCATAACAGTGTGTCAGAACACAGCCATCTCCATCTCATTCCTAACTTAAGGTCATAGCCTCGACAGAGTATAGGGATCCTCTTCAAATGTCCATAACACCATTCTTCTCATCCTCAATGAATTCACTCATTCCACATCTTTTCATCTAACATCCTCTGTCTGCTTTTTCCTTTTTCCATTTTCACAATTGGGGAGATTTTTAGCATATTGCTCTTCTTGGCACTTTCTAGCTTCCCCCGAGCCCAGGACAACGCAATATGTTACAGACCCTACTTATGGATCATGAAAATAGCTGTAATATAACTGGTAATTCTGTACAGTATAACCACCTTTGGGCCATCCTGAACTCAAAGTTTGATACAGCTCTCCAGATGGTTCCTGTCTGACTGCACTGCCTGTTTCTCGCCTTACCTATGGGTGACAGTTCTGCCACGCTGCCGATATAGGGACCCTCCAAGAACTTTGGCTCACTGTCGTTGATGTCCTGGACCTTGATGACAAACTCTGATTCTGGTTCCAGTGGGTCGTTGGAGAGCCGGTCCCGTGCCTGAGCCCTTAGCGTGTAAAAGGCCTTCTCCTCTCGGTCCAGTCTCTCTGTTGCATGGATGTCTCCTGTTAGCTCATCAATGATGAAGATGGAGCCCGCCCCTTCTCCAGAGATAGTGTACTTGATGTTGCCTTCACCTTCATCAGAGTCTGTATGGATCTGTAAATTGATACAAAATAGACAGTAAGTTTATCAAAGGAGGCAACCCCTATAGTTTGTTTTATTCTATTTATTATAACACCAATGCAAGTTTTACTCCTAGAAATGGCATTTGTATAGTACTTATTTGCAACGGCAAATACATTTTGATGAAAACATACAGTGATTCCGCCCAGATTCAAGTCAAGTCAATTTTATTTATATAGCCCAATATCACAATTGTCCCTAAAGGGGCTTTCCAATCTGTACAGCATACGACACCCTCCATCCTTCGGATAAGGAAAATCTCCCCAAAAAAGCCAAACGGGGCAAAAAATGGAAGAATATCTGTCTCCCAGATGGACAGACACATAGATTTTGTGTATACAGCATAGATCAACATACAGTAGTAAAATTGCAGTATGGACAATTAGGACTGTCATGATATTATGTCTCTGATAATGTCATGAGGTGAGAATTCAGAAATTGTTTCCTTTAATTTAACCAAGTGTGTTACATAAATCCAATCAATAAACGTATTAATCTTAATATACTTAAGCTAAGAAGCAGTGACCAAAAGATGAATTCTTCAGACCTTAATTTTTATGAACATTTTGAAGCAGACAACACAACTGGTCACAGCACAGATTGGGAAGGGGTCAAGTGTTCATCTGTGAATGGAGCTGGGTCATTTGATGCCACCTGAACCAGCTCCATTCACTGATGAAGAATGTTACATGCTTTTGAAAGTTCAGAAAAACTGGCTGACGTCTGAGTTGAGATTATTATGTCATACAATTTGTGTGGAATTTAGTTTCAGCCGCTGTGAATGCTGATGGTTTGTGTAATTGATAGTTGTCAGAAAATGACATTTGGCCATCAGCCATGACCAAAATAAATTAGTGAATTTCTTCCATCCATTCCCTTATCTTGTTCCACAGTAGCAACTGCAGCTTAAGGCCTTCTCAGAGCTCCCTACAGACCAGTCATCATCGCTGTCGTGAAAAAAAGACACCACAGTTGTAGTGATGATTTATATCTTTTCTGCACAGGAAGTAAACTAGGAGATCAAAGTCATTTCAAAGATTGTTAAAAGGTAGAGACATGGAGGTGCTGGGACTGAAAAGTGAACTTAAAAGAGCCCTTATAAATCAGAGCTATAGTTCCCCCCCTAATGTGATTAGAAGACATTCCAGAGGCAGCAATAGGCGCAGCATCAGCCCCCCATCCCAACCTCCCCTTTGGCTCTTTAGTAAGTACTAGACCTGCTCGCTCGCTCTCTGTCTCTCTCTCTCACACCTTCTATCTGAAATTATAATTCAGAACTGTCTATGCAGTGTAACTGTGGTTCAATCTACTGAGCAGACCAGGGGAGAGGGGAATCGCCCTGGCCTCCCTGGTTAATATTTTATAAAGGCTTAATTAAATACAGGCTTCTATCACCCTCGCGGGGGTTTTCATTAAGTATTTGTCGTAAAACCGCGGAATAATGCAAGCTTGTGCCTTGATATTGCTTCCCTCATCCATTTTACCCTCCCTTTTTATCTGTTTTTGCCTTTTCTCACCACTCTGAATCATCCTGAAGACAAATACATGAACAGTCAGAGGAAATATACTGCCGGGTACTTTGGTGGTATCAATATTTCAGTTATAATAAAAAAAGTTTCATTGGTCCAAACTGAGAATTATCCAATAAAAGTGTGCATAGTCATTCGCTACTGGATATGTTTCTCCCAGACAATCTCTCTTACCCTCTCTCTGAATTTCTAAATTAGATTCTGCAGACAAGAATTTGTGTGAAATGTTGTCATTGTGTGTTAATTCAATTGCACAAATGCTGGCACCACACAGGGAAGTTCCTACCTACTGTACATGTCCTACTGTGCGTGCTTGCATACATACACACTAACACACATACACACACACACACACATGCACAGTGAGTTCGTCATTCTGCTAGGATGATGCTATTTCTCCCCCCTCAGGCTGGATATACCCATCCGTCTGTCAGTCTATCTTCACTGGAGTAATTCAAGTTGGCAGCTTAAAAAACACACACACTACGCTTAGCTAAGTTGTTCTCTGCAAAGTAAAGGTCAGTGCCAGGACGTCACTTGCTTAACAACAAATAACCAGGAGTGCAAACTTGCCCTAAACAAATTTACATGAGAAGAAGATGGTGAAAAAACAAACTGTCCGTTACTGCTGAACAAACTCTCCATTATCGCTGAACGAGAATCATAGGTTGAATCTTCTGAGCTCTTTGTGTTTAATATTATGCAGCTGTGGCATCTGATGATATAATGATGATATAGTAATATGAACAGGGGTAGTGCTTGAACAGGGGTAGCGCTTGAACAGGGTAGCGCTTGGGCTTGGTGTGTTAAGATTTTCTATTTTCTATAGCCTACCTATTTTCATAATTAGGTAGCTGATTGCCACTGACATTTAGTCCCGTCGGGTTACAGTTTCTAAATATAGCCTTCCTAAATAAAATCAAATGTAATGGACTGTAGCACTTTATCACTCTTTCCAGTCTGGTAAATGATGAATGAGAAACGCTGTATAGTAGCCTAATAATATTAACTAGGACTGAATGATTTTGGAAAATAATGTAATTGCGATTTTTTTTTTTACCAATATTGCGATTGCAATTTAATATGCGATTAAATTTTAGGCTCTTTACCTTCTGTATATCGACAAGCATTAAATCAGTATATAGTATGACCAACACAATTTTAAATAGATAGAACTACACTGTTCTTTCTTGTGTTATGATGAATTAGGTAGAATTATTATCATGAGCAATGAAGATATATCAAATTATAATAATATGACAAAGATAATTTGAGTCAAGTCATGGCATTAAATAATATGATATAATATCATCAGGTCGGCCTACCTACAGACCACAAGAAAAACTATCTCACCACAGTGTGATACAGTAAGCACTCAATACAAAAACCACAGTCTCCTATGGCGTAGCCTGACGTGCACCTCCTCGAAAATGTAACTACACGTCGAGCCGACGCGGAACCTAAGCTCTGTGATAGGTTGGCTGGGTAGCCTCGCAATGCCTCCGAGCCGACAAGAAGTGCCCATGCTTTGAAGTAACTTTTACTAGCGGCCAAAACGGTGGCTATAACACAGTGGATCAATATATTTGACCCGTCACAACCTGAGCGAAATGACTCGTTTCATTATCAGAATGTGATCCATACAGTCGATGACATTTGAACGTTAGCGGAGGGCTAAACTGGATGTTAGCCTGCTTGGCCAGCAAAAGTCAACACAGTGGACGCTGTAGCGCTACTGCAGACTAGCGTTTGGGGGTGTAATTGCAGATTGACGGACACACAGACGTATAAATGCCTGGCTACGTGCGTAGCTACGCCGTAGGCAGGAGTATAAATCAAGCTTAACTCGGGACAGATTGGGCCTTTCTGTTGTGCATTTTTCCTGTCCGTTAAAGCTGCGGATGGCCCGACGATTTCACCCACCACCAAGTTACCCACGGGTAGCGGGTGTTACTTTCATTCCCTTTGTGACACTAAAGTTTATGTAGTGTCAGCTTCTGTCAAGCTTAAGGCCATTGTACAACAAGAAGGCAAGGTACAGCATAACATGCAGACAAAGCATCAACTTCGTCTGCAGACTGTTTTCCTCTTGGGTGTCATGTGACCTGAGTGTAATCGCAGCCTTTGCGATTAGAAAACCTAATTTTATTACATCGCGATAATATTGCAAATGCAATTAATCGTTTGGCCCTAATGTTAAGCATTGATCCTTCTTCCACTCAATTTAAAGCCTATCATGGTCCGCGTTGGCACACATTCATATTTCTAGCTCCACCCGATTAAAATGGAGGATCTGACTTTATTCACCTGTCGCCATGGTGAATCGTAGTATCGGAGGTCCATTGATGATGTTTTTTTTTCATCCCCACACACGCACTTCCATCAGGCTCAACATACTCAGAGTTGTTTCAACTAATTCTGATCAGCTGTTCTGGAACCGAAAATTCAGAGTTTCCCACTTTTCCCACTTCCCAGGCTCAATCAACTCAGAGCTCAAGGATAAGCTCAGAGTTTGTTAAGCCTAGAAAGGTGGTCATAAAAAGTTTGTAGTTTCTTCATTGACAGAGAACAGCAGCTTTGGTCAGTTTAAGAACAACAGAATCTATTTAGGATTATGGTACTTTTTTTTACCAAAGTGAAAATGAGTTACCAATGGAATCCATGGTTACAGGCTGAATTTAGGCTGACCACTGCCAATGATCTCTGTCTGTAAGAAAACCACAAACATTTTATAACCACCTTTCAAGGCTGCAGAGAGAGAGTTTCTACTCAGAACATAAGTATTACTTTTCCATGCAGACATACTGTATTTACATTTAAAGGCAGGGGTGCACATCTTCCTACAAATACGCACAGGAGAATGCATTCAGGATTGGTCAGTACAGTACGGATTTTCTGCATTTTGTGACATACCTGAAACATCAGTCTGATACTATAGCATTTTAATAGCGCACAACAGTTACTTAAATTCTATGGCCAATTTAAATTTAACATTAACCAAAACATTTTGAGAAGGAGTTATTGGGTCTTCTAACTTCATGTTTCGTTATGTTAACCCAAGGTTTTGAAACTGTGAGGCGTGCGAGAGAGTAGGAGAGATGTGAGGTAAAAATACCATGCGAGGTGAAAGGGACACTTGAATGCTGGCGTTCTAAAAACAATGGGAAGTTAGTTATTGTTGTTTGGCCGCTGATTTGGCCTGCTTATCAACACAGTCAGCAGTTGGAGTCACTGCAAAGGGTATGACACGCAACTCATGGAGGCAATTAAGGTACTTTTAAAACCCTTAGTGCATGACTGCCATAACACACACACACACACATATTTTTATATTAGTGTGACTTACACAAAATGAAACAGAAACTGCCAATACAGCATACTTTTAATGGTGCCACTTTGTCAAAATGTAACCATATACCATCCATTGTCAACTGCTTATCCTGC